GCCTCCGCGGGCTCACCTGCAGTGACCCACACAGTCAGTTCAGTCGCTCAGTCGTGTCCGACTCTTTGCGACCCCGTGGACTGCAGCACGCCAGGCCTCCCTGTCCATCACCAACTCCTGGAGCTTGCTCAAACCCATGTCCATTGAGTCGGTGATGGCATCCAACCATCTCATCCTCTGTCGTCCCCTTCTCCTCCCGCCCCCAATCCCTCCCAGCATCAGGGCCTTTTCCAACAAGTCAACTCTTCGCATGAGGTGTCCAAAGTACTGGAGTTTCAGCTTCAGCATCAGTCCTTCCAATGAACACCCAGAACTGATTTCCTTTAGGATGGACTGGTTGGATCTCCTTGCAGTCCAAGGGACTCTCAAGAGTCATCTCCAACACCACAGTTCAAAAGCATCAATTCTTCAGTGCTCAGCTTTCCTCACAGTCCAACTCTCACATCCATACATGACCACTGGAAAAACCATAGCCTTGACTAGATGGAGCTTTGTTGGCAGTAATGTCTCTGCTTTTTAATATGCTGTCTAGGTTGACCCATTCCCTTTAGGGATTCCTGATGAGAAGATCAACAGTTCAGCATGAGAACTGCAAAGTTTCATTCTTGGTCCAGGAACCTTATTAACGCCTCTGGAGGCAAGTGAGCGGAGGGGCCCTGCGTGTCTCCTCCTGCTCATGACTTGGATGGCTCATGACCTTAAAAAAGAGGAAGAAAGGAAAGCTTTGTAGGTGGCCTGGATGGTGACAGAGATTCTGTTTGTTCTGAATCCTAAACTTGAGAATTTTAAGTAAAATAAGTACAGGAAAAATGCACATTCAGCAAGAGAGAAAGCTATGGCCTCTGATACGGGAGAAAGGAATTCTATAGAAAGTTTACTCCTGTTAACCCAGTTACAAGTTTAATAGCTCTCGAGATGAATGATGAAAGTGTCAAAGTGTTAGTTGCTCAGTCATGTCCCACTCTTTACAACCCTGTAGACTGTAGCCCGCCAGGCTCCTCTGTCCATGGGATTCTCCAGGCAAGAACACTGGAGTGGGCTGCCATGCCCTCCTGCAGGGGATCTTCCCGACCCGGTGATCAAACCTGTGTCTCTTGGGTCTCCTGCATGGCAGATGGGTTCCTTGCTCCTGAGCTCCCCAGGAAGCCCGTGTATACATTCCCTTTCATGTTTTTTACCGATGGTTTGTCACAGGATGTTAAGTATAGCTCCCTGAGCTGTAGGTAGGACCTTGTTCTCTATCTGTCCTGTGTACGACCGTTTGCGTCTGCTAAGCCCAAACCCCCGTCTACCCCTCCCCACCCCCTCCCCTTGGCAGCCACAAGCCTGGTCTCTGTGTCTCTGAGTCTGTTCCTGTCCCACAGATAGGCTCCTTTCTGCCACTGGAGTTCGCTGGTGCTGACTCAGGGGGAGCGGCAGTTCTCCAGTGCTTTAGTGGGTGGGCAGCTTTATACACTCCACAGCTACTGAGACTCCAGACAGCTCTTGTTGGCGTGACTTACACCATCTATAGTTACAATCCGATGGAGAAGGGGTAGGCCACCCACTCCAGTATTCTGTCCTGGAGAATTCTGTGGACTATTTAGTCCATGCGGTTGCAAAGAGTCAGATATGACTGAGTGACTTTTACTTTCATAGTTACAATAATAGATATTAGAAGCAATAATTTTAAATAGTTATTTATAATAATAATAAATCATACAAGGCAAATATAACTATACAAATATAAAAACCCATGTTCAGGGCTTTTGACCAAGTATTCTTCAGGACAAAAGGCCCCGGCAGCCCCTCCCCTAGGGACTGGGACCCAGTGAAAGCTGGAGGCCCGCTGCTGGGCGCGGCTGCCAGCTCTGCACAAACATAGCCGTTGGAAAAGACTGAAGGCGGGAGGAGAAGGGGACGACAGAGGATGACACGGTTGGATGGCATCACCGACTCGATGGACATGAGTTTGAGCAAGCTCTGGGAGTTGGTGATGGACAGGGAGGCCTGGCGTCCATGGGGTCACAAAGAGTTGGTCGACTGAGCAACTGAACTGAACTGAAATAGCATAATTTTATGAAAAGCGATATTTTCCAAACTGAAATTAAATGAGAAGGGTAGTCTTGGTTTACATGTTTGTAAGTCTTTTTAATGTGTGACCTAGCGAGAAGGGCGCTGAATTCTCCTCTCTGTCTTCATTATGTTGTTTTGAAGCATAAGGCAGTTCATTTTCGCTCCAACATGTGGTTGGAAAAAGGACGAGTGTTTTTTGAAGGAAACGTGGATAAGCTGCTTTGACGCTCCAGTGTGACAGGTGGTGTCTCTTCTGTTAATATTATTATTGTCTTTTGGTTACACTTGGTCTTTACTGCTGCATGGGGGGCTACTTTCTAGTCATGGTTTATGGGCTCAGCTGCCCTGAAGCATGCTGAATCCTCCCATGTCCCCTGCCCTGGCAGGTGGGTTCTTAACCACTGGACCATCAGGGAAGTCCAGACAAGAGGTAGTTTCATGACAGGTAGTTACTAACCTAACACTGATGAACTACTAACACTGATGAATCGAAAGCTCCATTGATGGATTGCTCGATCTCTGCGGCATTGAGACTCACTGGATGTGGAACGGATCTTTTGCTTGTAGACTGACTTACACTGCTTTTATATCCAAAGCGGCTGAGGCCACTCAGAGCACGGATTTCTAAACTGGCACCATCTCACCCCTAAACGGCGAGAAGAGGGCTGCACGGAGGAGGTGTGTTTTCAGGAGCTGTGCTGACACCGGGGGACTGCGGGAGCAGCCATCTGGGGGCCTGAACGCAGTGTCTGGCCCACGCACCCTTCAACCAGTCACGACCTCTCAGAACGACAGTGGAAAGCCCCCATCTCCCCGCTGAAGTAAAGCCTACGCAGCCGCTCCACTTGCGCGGGAGCAGGGAGAAGCTTCATTAAAAAAAGGAGAAGAAAAACCCGCGTTCGGGGCCTTTGACCAAGCGCCCTTCGGGACAAAAGGCGCCCGCGTCCCCTCCCCGGGGGGCTGGGACCCAGGGAAGGCTGGAGGCTGGTTGCCAGCTCCGACAAACACAGCCGCCTAATTGCTGCCGGCTCCCGGCCCGCGCTCCTGGCAGCCCCGGGAGGCACCTGCGCTGCAGACCTGGGGCCCGCACCCCCGCAGACGTCGCAGGCCCTTTGTTGCTCCCCATTAGGAGCCCTTAATGGGCCGGGCGAGCTGGGCTCAGCGCCCGGCGGCGGACAGCAAACATTGTTCCCGCGGCGGGCGAAGGGTCAAACGGTTCTTCAGCCTCTAAAGCCCAGCCAGATAACTGCGGGTGATTAGCAATTTTAATTACCAGGTGCAGGTCGGGACCCCTCCTGTAATTGGGCAGGTCGTTAACCCTCCCGGAGATGTGACCGGGGAGCGAGTTTACCAATATGCTGCCGGTCTTTTAAAGTCAATTAAATTAAAGCAACGAAAATCACCAGAGGCGGCCTGGAGTCTGCTGAGCCAGAGAGGACTGGCTTTCGGTATGAGTTGCCCGTGAATGGTGGTGACAGAGCCCCGTGCAGCACCCCGGGAGGCCCTGGAACCATGTCTGGCTGGGCGGGTGGCCCCAGGGGCTGCAGGCACAGTCACGGGCCGTCCCTTCTGACCGTCTGGGTCCTCGTGGAGCGGCCATGGGCATCTGTCGCCGGCTCTCAGGGGGTTCACAGGCCCATGAGACACAGTCCAGAGTCCCTGGTCCAGCCGTGGGAAGTGCCCGCAACCTCATGGCTCCGAGGGCCCCTGCCTGCCACGTCCACCAGGCTCGCCTTAACACCTAACCAGAGCCGGTGTGAACTGATGCTGATAAATGTCCCCAGTTCCATTTGCAGAGGCTAGGAGCCTGTTAAGAAGCTTCAGAGCCTCTAAGAGCCAGAAGAGGAGTTTTCTTGGGTCTCTGTGGCCCCAAAGGTCACTGGGGGAGCCCCCGTCGCGCGTGAGGGTGTACATTGGGAACAACCCAGGGGAGCTCGCATACAAAGAGGTATCTTTGAAGAGAAGAAGCTCCAAGCGGGGGGTCCCCGTGAGTGGGGGGTGGGGGGTTAGGGTAGGGATTGGGGGATTCACATGGTCTTTCGTCCACATCACAGAACTGAAGCTGCCCTGTGGCGGGTGGTCTCACCTTGGCCACTCTGGAGGGCAGGCCTCCCGGGGCCCCTCGGGGACCGAGCCTGGCCGACACGTGCCCAGAATCAGCGTCTGTGGGGTTGAGACGCGGAGTCGGGCAGGGCGGCCTGCTGGAGTCAGAGACGGTCTCTGTCACCTGCAAACACAGCTGGAGCCACGGCCGCCGCACGACAGAGCGGAGGGTTGTCTCCAAGGTTTGGAGAGCAGCTTCCGCGTCTTCTTTTAAAAAGCAGACAGCTCCCTTCGCTTAAGGAGCACTGGTTTATGCACACAGCACAGGCTGAGACTGCAGGGAATTATGCTCCAGCCTGAGAGGAAGGGAACGTCCTGGAGAAGAAGGAGCCCAAGCGGGCGGTGATGCCGCGTGCCCAGGTGGGCCTGGGGGGAGTGGGCCGGTGGGCACCACCTGGAAAGTGCTGTGAGCATCCAGGGGTGCCTGAAAAGGGGGCTGCTGGGACCCCAGGCACTGCCGACTCCGTGTGCGGCGGGACCCCAGCCGAGAGGCCCAGTACCCACCCAGACCCACCCGCACGAGACCCAGAGAGCAGGCCCGGCGGGTCTGTCCTCGGTCTCTCTGCGCGCTGTTCACAGCTGCTGTGGACTTCAGAGCGAGACCCCGGGGGGCCAGGGCACTGGACGTGGCAGGGGCCAGGACCCTTGAAGCGACCTGAGACCAGAGTCCACCTTTCTGGCTTCTGAATCCCCTAAGAAGGGTGGAGACTCACTGAGGAGGCGGCTGTGTTCTCAGAGGGCGTGGGGTCAGAGGTCGGCTCAGGGGTTGGGGAAGAAAGGGGCAGAGGTTGGCGGGGAGGCTGGGAGCGTAGCGTGATGAGCGCCTGGACGTGCTGGTGGGGTCAGCCCAGGCCGGGCCTGAGGCTCGCCGCCCACTCCCCAGCCGTCCTCACCCATGGGGGCGTCGGCCTTGGGGCCGTCAGGCCAGGACCCAGGTGGAGCCGCGCCCAGACCCTCTGTCCCAGACCAGTCCCAGGGCTACTGTGCCGGGTGGGGCTGCATCTGTAGCCCCGGCCCCGGGGATAGGGTGTGCGGTGCCGGCCGACTGAGGTTGCTGCCCCCAGGTTGTCTGGGGACTTGGACACGTGGCCCTGCGGCTCCGGTTGGCACACCCTGCCCTGCTCACGGGCCAGCTTGGTGTCCATGACTGAGGCCACTGGGCCCGGGGCAGATGGTTGGAGGCTCAGCCTGGCGCCGGGCGGGGGCCACGTGCAGACACCCTCGGGACGAGATGGTCTTCTAAGGGAGCCTCCTGATGGCTCACCTCTGAGAACAGTGTCTGGATTTCCTTAAACTAGACCCAGACTCTCGTAACCTCCACACAGTCTCCTTGGGCAGGGACCGGGGCTCGTGGGCTCGCCTGGGTAACACCCTGGGGTCGCTTCGAGGCCCAGGTCAGGGTCGGCTCATGCTTGTGAACATGGCGCTCTCTCCTCTCTGAATGTCGTCCCTGCAAACTCGGAGCCTCGCTGGGTCAGCAGCCCACAGACATCCTACATCTTGGGTCTGTTGTTGACTCATCGGAGGGAACTCTGTGTGGAGCTGAAGTTCTAGAGACAGACTCTGGAAGCCAACGTAGACATAGCATTTATATTCAAAGTATACGTACATTCAGTACGTTCAGAAGTGAGCTTAGATACTGTGAGGACTGCTTTCCTCAAGTGTGGCTGAGGTCTCTTCTCTCCTGTTTCATGGTTGGTTCTGGAACAGAGATCACGGCAGTGAAGAGAGACCCCAGCATGGAGAAGGATGAGGAGGGGACGGGGCGCCAGGTGACGGGTGGGTGGCCGAGATGCTCGGGGTGAGAGCCGCAGAGAGAGACGGGGTGGCAGACGGGGTGCTGGCGCCCAGCTCCCGTCTGCTCCGGACAGAAAGCCGGCCACTGTTGCCGGAGGGGCCTCCGCCCCGACTCCATCCTGTGGGTGCCGGGAGGAGGTGCGGACGTGTCCCTGGGTGGACGCTGCTTCCAGAGCTGGGAGGTGGGCTTAGGGGGGCTTTGGCCTTAGTTCTGCTTTTCACCGCTTCTGTGGGGCTGCTTGCCCCTTCTCTGTTGTTGGAACTGGAATCTGGGCTACTTTATTGATGTTAGTTACCTACTGTGCCTCTGAGCACCTGCTCGCTTCCTTGCTGGGCTCAGAAAATGCAGGTTTTGTGCACCTGAATTATAATCTTGCTGTGATAATACGCCTGTATTGATTCAACAAAATGACTTGTCTATTTTGCTTTCACTTCGACATCTATAAGAAGGAAAGGCTGACAATCAGGAACATAAATATTTTGGACTTCGCATCTTGAGGCATGAAGATGTTTTAAAAAAACGTGTAATAATTGAAAAATAAAATTTTACCAGGAAATGCAGTCTGTCTGAACCCGGAGGATGAACTTCTCACAAAAAGCACTTATTTCAGAGCAGTGTTAAAATGTTACAATTGCCTAAGCACCTAAAAGGCAGAAAATAGACAGCATTACCTTAAACATGCAACAATCCAAATATAAATATGTAGAAAGTGCTGTCGAAGTTCGGGTCATCTCTCTGCTTTATTAAAAGCACACAGGATGCTGGTTCCCACAGCACTTTATTCTGGAGACCGTCTCTGGCTCCGAGGGGCTTCTCCCCCAGACCCCGTGCTGCTCTGACTGACACCACCTGAGGGATCATGGAAAATTTCACCCCCACATTTTATACCAGTTTGATGTTTTCTTATGTATTCGAGTTCATTTAAAGGGCTTGGTTTTGGTTGGACTTCGGTGCTTAATTGTAATTGTTGTGTGTTACTCGATATTTTGATAAAATAACCTCATTGACCACATCTAATGCCATTTCTGAAGAAAGCTACGTGTTTTTGTAAAGAAATGGGGAAGCCAGCTTTCTTCAAAAAGAGCATGACCGTTTTCCTGGCCCATCTCCCCTGTTTCTACGATGAGGCACCTTCATGGGTGTGAATAGCAGCTTACATCCGGATTTTTATCAATCCTGCAACTGTTGGGGCTGGAATTGCAGCTTCATGGTTTTATTTCTGGTGATGGTGGCCCATCGGCCTTTGCTCAGCAGACCAGAAGCAGTGACAGCTCACATGCTGCCTGAGGGGAGTTTTGGGGGCAGCAGGACTATGCCCCCTCATTTGACAACAGAGCCCCAGCCTCCCTGGGGGAGACGATGCCCCCTCCTCCCACCAGCCAGCAGGTGCTGAGGTTGACCCTTACACCTTCTCTGGGGTGGGGGTGGGGGTGGACCACAGAGCCCTGTACAGAGGAGAGGGGAGTGGGGCCATCAACTCCTCCCGCCCCCGAGCCTTGCCCTGACGCTTGGAGCCATCAGGGAAGCAGCTTTAGAATCATGTCTGTCTCGCTTAAGATTTGCAAAGCGGGGGAAGGGTGAGGTGCAAGTAGGCCCGGAAGTGAATCACCAGGCCGCCTGGCTCCCCCAGGGGACCTGGCCACACTCCCTGTCCTTCTCCATCCCATGTGTCTGTACACCATGGGATGCACACGCACCCAGCCTCGAGCAGAAAGGACCTCTTGTAGCTCGTAAGCTGAGATGTTTCTTGACAAACAGTTTCAACAGCTCCCCCTGCCAGTCCCAGCATGGAGACCTGTGCAAAGACGTGCTCAAGGGCTCTTCTCTCCCCTAAGATGCTGACCTGGACGGGAATCATATTCCACAGATGGGGTCCTGGCCGGTTCACCCGACAAGTGGTTACGGAGGCCACGCCGCAGATGGTGACCCGGGCACCTCATCTGGTGGGACTGGTGAAGCCCACTTTACAGACGTGCCTGACCTTGCTGCTTGATTTCCAAAGAACTGCTGCCTTACTAAAATTTCCTTGTGTGAGGCGGCACCCCCTCTGGACTGTTTAAGACGGATAGAAAGGGAGAGAGGCAGGAAATGTCTCCAGCTCCAAAATGGAAAATGCTCTATTTCTCCTTTAAGGGAAGCTGGGCATGGAAGATCTGTCAACTCTGGGCTTTGGTGATGTGGATCAGCCCATTCCTCCAGCATGAGGGGTGGCCTTGTGGATCACGGCCCGGCTCAGGGTGGATGGACGTCCGCTCACCTGTGCCCAGGTGCCGTGGGTGGGATGGACTAGGAAGAAGCACCAGAGACCCCCAGAGAAGGGGCTTCCCAGGGCCCGGTCCTTGGAGGGAGGTTGGTTTAGAATCAGCATCTTTCTTCTTTTGTGTTGTTTTTTGCCCTCATGCCTACAAGGTGGCCCAGGCGCAAACTATGGTGACACTTATCAGACAGGGTCTTTCTCAGCTGCTGCCTGCTCGGCCATGGCGTTTACCTGCTGAGAGCGGCCAAGGGTGTGTGGTTCATCGTGCTGATCCATCTTCACTTTGGCCGTGGTTCCCGCCTCCTTGTGAGAAACGCCCGCAATACAGCTAATTCTCCTGCGCAGACAATGTCTAAGTTAATGCTCCCACTGAATGAACAGCTGAGACGTAAGCCAATGGTCTGTGTGTGTTTGTTGTTTTGGTTTTATTTTTTCTAGGGGGGAAAAAGGGGCTATATATGTGCTATATATGGAACGCATTTGATGGTCAGGTCAGTGGACAGAATAAGGAGTGTGAACACTTTGGCTGAACCACCATCTGTGTGTGTGTGAAAATGTGTGTACTGTGTGTGTGTGACTGTGTGTACAATGTATGTGTATACAATGTGTGTGTGTCTGAATGTGTGTGTGTGCATGTGTGTACAGTGTGTGTGTGACTGTGTGTAAAATGTATGTGTATAGAGTGTGTGTGTGTGCATGCCTGTGAATGTGTGGTGTGTGTGACTGTGTGTACAATGTATGTGTATACAATGTGTGTGGGTGTGTGTGAATGTGTGTGCATGTGTGTACAGTGTGTGTGTGTGAATGTGTGTGTGTGCAGTGTGTGCGTGTATGTACAGTGTGTGTGTGACTGTGTGTACAATGTATGTGTATACAGTGTGTGTGTGTGAGAATGTGTGTACAGTGTATGTGAGACTGTGTACAATGTATGTGTATACAATGTGTGTGGGTGTGTGTGAATGTGTGTGCATGTGTGTACATGTGTGTGTGTGAATGTGTGTGTGTGCAGTGTGTGCGTGTATGTACAGTGTGTGTGTGACTGTGTGTACAATGTATGTCTATACAATGTGTGTGTGTGAGAATGTGTGTACAGTGTGTGTGTGACTGTGTGTACGATGTATGTGTATAGAGTGTGTGTGTGTGCATGCCTCTGAATGTGTGGTGTGTGTGACTGTGTGCACAATGTATGTGTATACAATGTGTGTGCATGTGTGTACAGTGTGTGTGTGACTGTGTGTACGATGTATGTGTATACAATGTGTGTGCATGTGTGTACAGTGTGTGTGTGAATGTGTGTGTGTGCAGTGTGTGCGTGTATGTACAGTGTGTGTGTGACTGTGTGTACAATGTATGTGTATACAATGTGTGTGTGCATGCCTGTGAATGTGTGGTGTGTGTGACTGTGTGTACAATATATGTGTATGCAATGTGTGTGTGAGAATGTGTGTACAGTGTGTGTGTGACTGTGTGTACAATGTATGTGTATACAGTGTGTGTGTGTGCATGCGTGTGAATGTGTGGTGTGTGTGACTGTGTGCACAATGTATGTGTATACAATGTGTGTGTGCGTGTGTGTACAGTGTGTGTGTGAATGTGTGTGTGTGCAGTGTGTGCGTGTATGTACAGTGTGTGTGTGACTGTGTGTACAATGTATGTGTATACAATGTGTGTGTGCGTGTGAATGTGTGTGTGTGCATGTGTGTACAGTGTGTGTGTGACTGTGTGTACAATGTATGTGTATAGAGTGTGTGTGTGCATGCCTGTGAATGTGTGGTGTGTGTGACTGTGTGTACAATATATGTGTATGCAATGTGTGTGTGTGAGAATGTGTGTACAGTGTGTGTGTGACTGTGTGTACGATGTATGTGTATACAATGTGTGTGCGTGCGTGTGAATGTGTGTGCATGTGTGTACAGTGTGTGTGTGTGAATGTGTGTGTGTGCAGTGTGTGCGTGTATGTACAATGTATGTGTATACAGTGTGTGTGTGCATGCGTGTGAATGTGTGGTGTGTGTGACTGTGTGTACAATGTATGTGTATACAGTGTGTGTGTGTGCATGCGTGTGAATGTGTGGTGTGTGTGACACTGTGTGTACAATGTATGTGTATACAGTGTGTGTGTGTGAGAATGTGTGTACAGTGCGTGTGTGACTGTGTGTACAATGTATGTGTATACAGTGTGTGTGTGTGCATGCGTGTGAATGTGTGGTGTGTGTGACTGTGTGCACAATGTATGTGTATACAATGTGTGTGTGCGTGTGTGTACAGTGTGTGTGTGAATGTGTGTGTGTGCAGTGTGTGCGTGTATGTACAGTGTGTGTGTGACTGTGTGTACAATGTATGTGTATACAATGTGTGTGTGCGTGTGAATGTGTGTGTGTGCATGTGTGTACAGTGTGTGTGTGACTGTGTGTACAATGTATGTGTATAGAGTGTGTGTGTGTGCATGCCTGTGAATGTGTGGTGCGTGTGACTGTGTGTACAATATATGTGTATGCAATGTGTGTATGTGAGAATGTGTGTACAGTGTGTGTGTGACTGTGTGTACGATGTATGTGTATACAATGTGTGTGCGTGCGTGTGAATGTGTGTGCATGTGTGTACAGTGTGTGTGTGTGAATGTGTGTGTGTGCAGTGTGTGCGTGTATGTACAGTGTGTGTGTGTGACTGTGTGTACAATGTATGTGTATACTGTGTGTGTGTGCATGCGTGTGAATGTGTGGTGTGTGTGACTGTGTGTACAATGTATGTGTATACAGTGTGTGTGTGTGAGAATGTGTGTACAGTGCGTCTGTGACTGTGTGTACAATGTATGTGTATACAGTGTGTGTGTGTGCATGCGTGTGAATGTGTGTGGTGTGTGTGACTGTGTGCACAATGTATGTGTATACAATGTGTGTGTGCGTGTGTGTACAGTGTGTGTGTGAATGTGTGTACGATGTATGTGTATACAATGTGTGTGCGTGCGTGTGAATGTGTGTGCATGTGTGTACAGTGTGTGTGTGAATGTGTGTGTGTGCAGTGTGTGTGTGTATGTACAGTGTGTGTGTGACTGTGTTTACAATGTATGTGTATACAGTGTGTGTGTGTGAGAATGTGTGTACAGTGCGTCTGTGACTATGTGTACAATGTATGTGTATACAGTGTGTGTGTGTGTGCATGCGTGTGAATGTGTGGTGTGTGTGACTGTGTGTACAATGTATGTGTATACAGTGTGTGTGAGAATGTGTGTACAGTGTGTGTGTGACTGTGTGTACAATGTATGTGTATACAGTGTGTGTGTGTGCATGCGTGTGAATGTGTGGTGTGTGTGACTGTGTGCACAATGTATGTGTATACAATGTGTGTGTGCGTGTGAATGTGTGTGCATGTGTGTACAGTGTGTGTGTGTGAATGTGTGTGTGTGCAGTGTGTGTGTGTATGTACAGTGTGTGTGTGACTGTGTGTACAATGTATGTGTATACAGTGTGTGTGTGTGAGAATGTGTGTACAGTGCGTCTGTGACTGTGTGTACAATGTATGTGTATACAGTGTGTGTGTGTGTGCATGCGTGTGAATGTGTGGTGTGTGTGACTGTGTGTACAATGTATGTGTATACAGTGTGTGTGAGAATGTGTGTACAGTGTGTGTGTGACTGTGTACAATGTATGTGTATACAGTGTGTGTGTGTGCATGCGTGTGAATGTGTGGTGTGTGTGACTGTGTGCACAATGTATGTGTATACAATGTGTGTGTGCGTGTGAATGTGTGTGTGTGCATGTGTGTACAGTGTGTGTGTGACTGTGTGTACAATGTATGTGTATAGAGTGTGTGTGTGTGCATGCGTGTGAATGTGTGGTGTGTGTGACTGTGTGTACGATGTATGTGTATACAATGTGTGTGTGCGTGTGAATGTGTGTGTGTGCATGTGTGTACAGTGTGTGTGTGACTGTGTGTACAATGTATGTGTATAGAGTGTGTGTGTGTGCATGCCTGTGAATGTGTGGTGTGTGTGACTGTGTGTACAATATAGGTGTATACAATGTGTGTGCATGTGTGTACAGTGTGTGTGTGAATGTGTGTACGATGTATGTGTATACAATGTGTGTGCATGTGTGTACAGTGTGTGTGTGAATGTGTGTGTGTGCGTGTATGTACAGTGTGTGTGTGACTGTGTGTACAATGTATGTGTATACAATGTGTGTGTGCATGTGAATGTGTGTGTGTGCATGTGTGTACAGTGTGTGTGTGACTGTGTGTACAATGTATGTGTAGACAATGTGTGTGTGCGTGTTAATGTGTGTGTGTGCATGTGTGTACAGTGTGTGTGAATGTGTGTGTGTGTGTACAGTGTGTGTGTGACTGTGTGTACAATGTATGTGTATAGAGTGTGTGTGTGTGAGAATGTGTGTACAGTGTGTGTGAGACTGTGTACAATGTATGTGTATACAATGTGTGTGGGTGTGTGTGAATGTGTGTGCATGTGTGTACAGTGTGTGTGTGAATGTGTGTGTGCGCAGTGTGTGCGTGTATGTACAGTGTGTGTGTGACTGTGTGTACAATGTATGTGTATAGAGTGTGTGTGTGTGAGAATGTGTGTACAGTGTGTGTGAGACAGTGTACAATATATGTGTATACAATGTGTGTGTGCGTGTGAATGTGTGTGTGCATGTGTGTACAGTGTGTGTGTGACTGTGTGTACAATGTATGTGTATAGAGTGTGTGTGTGCATGCCTGTGAATGTGTGGTGTGTGTGACTGTGTGCACAATGTATGTGTATACAATGTGTGTGTGCGTGTGAATGTGTGTGTGTACATGTGTGTACAGTGTGTGTGTGACTGTGTGTACGATGTATGTGTATACAATGTGTGTGCGTGCGTGTGAATGTGTGTGCATGTGTGTACAGTGTGTGTGTGTGAATGTGTGTGTGTGCAGTGTGTGCGTGTATGTACAGTGTGTGTGTGACTGTGTGTACAATGTATGTGTATAGTGTGTGTGTGTGCATGCGTGTGAATGTGTGGTGTGTGTGACTGTGTGTACAATGTATGTGTATACAATGTGTGTGTGCGTGTGAATGTGTGTGTGTACATGTGTGTACAGTGTGTGTGTGACTGTGTGTACGATGTATGTGTATACAATGTGTGTGCGTGTGTGTGAATGTGTGTGCATGTGTGTACAATGTATGTGTATAGAGTGTGTGTGTGTGCATGCGTGTGAATGTGTGGTGTGTGTGACTGTGTGTACAATGTATGTGTATACAATGTGTGTGTGCGTGTGAATGTGTGTGTGTACATGTGTGTACAGTGTGTGTGTGACTGTGTGTATGATGTATGTGTATACAATGTGTGTGCGTGCGTGTGAATGTGTGTGCATGTGTGTACAGTGTGTGTGTGTGAATGTGTGTGTGTGCAGTGTGTGCGTGTATGTGCAGCTCAGGCCTTCAGTGAGTGACGAAAAGTCAGGGGGGGACGGTGAAGGTGAGTTAAGGTTCGGAGGAAGGCAGGGCCCCCACCAGTCCCCCACTGCGCCTCTAATGCAACGCGCATCTGTGAAATGAAAGAGACGCTCTGCGTCCACAGACGGACACAAGGCCACGAGGGACGTGTAGGAGCTTCCTAAAGACCGGCTGAACTTGCTAAAGGGATAGTAAAATCCTTTAGATATTTTTTGGTTCTCGCATTTTAATGAAAAGATTGATTTCTAGTCATTATTTATCTATTGTCAAATTTTCACAAACAGCTGTAGTGACAATTGCTGACTTTCCACTCTGTGTTTAGAGGAAACTGTCAATGCACAAACATGGAATTGTGCTATTATCTATGTCGAAGGCGTTTTTCTGTAAATATACAGATTCAGTGCTGGTTTTCAATAAATATACAAAGATGCTAATTACCACGAGAACTATTTGTTAACACTCAGAAATACATATAAAATAAATAAAGGAAATGCCATTTTTCCATTAGGAATTCAAAAATATTTGTATTGAGGCTGCCTCGCACATAATATTTGGAAATTGTGCCATCATTATGCAGTTGACTTTACCTCTTGTTTTCCGGCCCTTCCCAGCGACTCTTCACCGGCCTCTCCAGGAGGCTCCTCTCGCTTTCTCGGGAGAGACTTTGGTCTGCGGCGGAGTTTTCCCGAGCCCGCCCGCATCGCAGGAGAAAGCCGGGCGCTGTGGGACACGGGCGCTGGGTTGACGCGACGCTCTGCAGGTGCAGGACTGCGATGAGCCGTGAGCCGTGCGTCGTGTTGACCGGCACCCTCTGCCCCGTGGGCCCGCCTGCCCGGGGCGCTCTCCTTAGTTTATTCCCACCCTTGTCGAGTGTGAGCGGCATTTTCACCACTTGCTGTTAGAAACCTTTGTAAAACATACAGAGTTATGAACAACACTCCTGCAATCACGGGGGCACAGCGCTCTCCACTGTCCTCCCTCTGGTCCAGCGGTGGTCGCGCTCCGGCCCCGCGGTGGGCAGTGTGGGCTGAGCCCCCCAGGCCCGTCGGGGGCACACAGCTGGGCCCCTCCCCAGGATGTGCCTTTGGCTGAGGGGAGACGTCCCCCACTCCGGGGGGAGGGCGCCTGCAGGACACAGGGGGAGGCCGGTTGCTGGGGGAGTCGGAGCAGCCCCTGAAGGAGGGGCTCGGAGGGGACCGAGCGTCTCCTCCTCCAGGTCGGCCGCCCTCCAGCCACTCCCAACACCTTTGCAGCAGCTCCTCGAGTCCGCTGGGAGGTCTGGGGTGAGAGGGCTCGGAAGTGGGGCCCTGGGCGACCGAGGCTGCTTTTGTTCAAGCAAATGGCCCTCCACGAGCTCTGGGAATCAGCGCTCTCATGGGTAAAGTGAGTCTCAAGGGGCCCTGAGGAGGAGCGATGATGTGCATGTGGCCTCAGCGCAGTGTCCAGCTCGTGGTGAGATCAGACAGGGTATTGTCGTCACCACCATCCTCATCGCCGCGCAATGACTCTCATCCAGAAAGTGCAGAGGGCGCCCTGTGCAGCCCCCAGTGCGTCCAGAAGCATTTCTGCAGGCGTGAGGGGGAGCAGGGCCCAGCCGCATTCGTAACTGAGGAGCCGCAGGGCTCTGCGTGAATCTGGAGTCATTGCAGACGCAGGGGCCAGGGGTTTGCGTGGATGGGAGCCCGGTCCCCGACTCTGGAAAGCCGGCCCCTCGCACAGACCGGCTTACAGCAAGATTAGCGTGTGCCCAGGTGGAGCCAGGGGCTCTGTGCCTGGCAGATAGGACATCTGGACCTGGCCAGAGCAGAGACGCGCCCCCCGACACCCTGCCGGGAGCGGGAGGACAGGTGCCCCAGTCAGAACCTCTGGGGGGCACGTATGGTTGTTGTGCGTGACGTGCTCCGGTCAACTGTCGTAAAAGTGTGCGGGAACCACTACGCGGAGCTGGGTTCTTCGTGGAAAGCAGAAAGGTGCTTGAACATCACTCAGCTGACGGCAAACCGGGTGTCGGTGCCCCGCGGAGGCAGAGCACACCTGGAAGTCTGCTTCTCCCTTGTCTCAGCGGGGGTCCTGCCTCCCCTCCGCCTTTGCTGCTTGGAGACCCCAGACGTCCCCGCCTCTTCCTCCCGTGGGTGCCCGTCAACGGCGCAGCCCTGGCGTGACCCCTCTGTCTTCCGGTCACTTTCCTCTCTGCTCTGTTTGTGAGAGATGTCTGCTTTGTGGCTGAAAGCAACTGATGTTGCCATGTCCTGTGCTAAGGGCAAGGAAGACCACACCTCCCCGACCGACTGGGCTCCAGAGATGTTCACATTTCAGTGTGGGTGAAAAGGCAGGATCCCCTGTGAAAATGACAGGCTGACTTTGTACTCACGCTTCCCAGTGGTAAAGAACCCACCTGCTAATTCAGGAGGAGCAAGAGATGTGGGTTCAACCCCTGGGTCGGGAAGACCCCTTGGAGAAGGGAATGGCAACCCCCTCCAGTATTCTTGCCTGGGGAATCCCATGGACAGAGGAGCCTGGTGGGCTATAGTCCGTGGGGTCGCAAAAACTCAGACATGACTGGACGACTGAGTGTGCACAAGTGCATTCGTACATCTGCACAGGACACAGGTTCTGAGCAAAACCCCAGGCTGAACACATTAAATACGTGAAAGGCCCCACCCAAGGGCGTTTCTCTGGAGTTGGTTCAACATCAGAAGATCCTATTTGTTTAGTTTACTGTCCTTCCAGATTAGGAAAAGCCCTGTGATCTTAAAACTTGCAGAGACATTTGATAAGATTCAATATACATTTATCACAAAAATCTTGTTAAAACAGAAACGGGAGAAATTATGTTTAACTGGATGAATCTCTCATAACAGCAAAAAGAAAAAAGACAGAAAAAAAAAAAAGAAAAAAGAAAAACTCTAAACTACAACAAAACTCACTGCTAATAGTAAAACATTTTAGAATTTTTCTCTCAAATCAAGTCCAGAATGCTGGCTATCACCGTTTTTGTTCAACACTGAATTAACATAAAAGACAAGAAAAAGTAGAAATGTAAACACAGAAAAAAAAAGCAAACTGTCACCATCTTGGTGACGAGACTGCAGATCGACATCACCCCCGTGAACGCTTGGAACCTCTTTCAGAATCCATAGGACACCTGACAACGTTGAGCAGTGTGTATCGATATTAAGAAACAAATGGCGTTTCTCCTACCAGAAATATTTAGAAATCTTAATGGATAAGAAAAATGAGTTGAAATCTGCATCTGGTCAAGATGGAGAAATAGGACCTGAATTTGTTTTTTAGCCCCAACAACTGAAAAACCAGACAAAACATATGAAATGTGTTCAAAACCTTGGGCTTAACTGTTGCATCAGCTCTACAACTACATCACTGATGGATGTTTAGACCTGATAACTTTTGCTGTTTGTTCAACATCACATTTTTCTGCATTTCATGCAAAGTTCTTTAATTCATTTTTTACTTGTATGGAGTGCCTGCTTCAGTAATTCTTTAGAAGTGAGATTATGGTTTCTGAGTTCTTGCCCATCTAAATACAGATGTATTTGTCCTAACATTTAAACCATAATTGACTAATCATATAATTCATCATCCTTTACCTGTAACTCTGCAAATATGACTTTATTGCTATTTTGCATTTGGTGCTACAGTTGAAAAATCAAGTGCCAGCCTGAATGTCTTCCCTTTATAGGTAATTTTTACATTTACAAAATTGATCCTTCTTCTTATTGCAGTTTTATTTTTTCTCCTTATTCTCAGAAATTGCCATCTTATTCAGGGAATGCAAGAGTGTGGTTCTTATCCCAATCCTAACTGACTGTCTGGGGGCCAAAACTCTTCCCTGGACCTGGCTTGGGGTCTCACGGGTCACGTGGATGGCAGGGCCGTGGGCCGCCCGCCCCTCACCTGCCTGGACAAGCAGGCGGCTGTGAGGTTGGAGTCAGGCAGACACGTGGCTTCTCTCCTGGGGGTTGACCAGAGCTTCTTCTACTCCCCGAGTCACTCCCCCTAAACCCTAAGATGGTCCGGGGTGGAGGCGCAGGAGGGGGAGTGTGGGAACCTCGTGTGAGTGGAAAGACTGTTGGAGAGGGTCCAGCCTGCCAGCCAGAGGGGCCTGGGGCCTGGGACTCTGCTTGGACATCTGAAAGCCCAGGGGCGTGGGTTAGCCCTCGGCCACTTTCCCGGGAATGCATGCGTGCGTGCTAAGTCACTTCAGTCATGTCTGATTCTCTGTGATCCTATGGACTGTAGCCCGCCAGGCTCCTCTGTCCATGGGATTCTCTAGGCAAGAAGACTGGACTGGGCTGCCATTCGCTCCTCCAGGGGATCTTCCCGACCCAGGGATCAAGCCCAGGTTTCTTACATCTCCTGCATTGGCAGGCGGGTTCTTTACCACAAGTGCCACCTGGGAAGCCGCGCTCCAGGGTTAGGTGATGGGTTAGGGCTTCCTCACGCCTGGGCAGCTCTCTACCTGCTGTGGGGTGTTCACCACACAGGCCCTTACCCGAGCACCAACAGCACCTCATTGCCCTCGGTCGCAGAGAGAAGGCAGACAGCCTCTTGATCTCTTGTGGCCTTGGGGGCTGCAGAGGGGGACTCGGGCTTCCCAGGGCTTCATTCCCAGAGCACCCAGCCCCCCTGACTCATCACACAGTGTCGAGACCTTCGGTTCCCGACACCCATGAGGCTCACCAGGCTCACAGACCCTGATGTACGCATTTCCTCCCTTCCCCAGCATCAGAGCAGCTCCTCTGGAGCAGAGCAGAAAATGGCACCTTCTCTGGGAATTTTCACCGGGCACCTGCCAGGTGCTGACACAGACCGCACTTGCTGGGATACTGTGAGAGGAGGGACATGATGCTGGTCTGCCCTGATATTGTGTTTTTACAGTATCTAGGGATCTAGGTCTGCGGAGACAAGGCCCCTGAAATCACATGTCAGCACACACGGAAAAATGCTCCCCGTGTCCAGGGCGAGACTGCTCCGTGTCACAGGCAAAGTGCAGCTGCTGAGCGCTGTGAAGCTGTTGGGAACAGACCTTTGGTGGCTCACACGCTTGGCACCGGAGAGGAATCCTGGGCCTGAGGACACAGGGCAGATCCTGGAGCCACTCTGAGGTCGGCTGGGGGTGGCACCTGCCCACGTTCGCTGGCTGGGCGAGGAGGTGTTACAGACGGTGATCTCTCAACATCGCCAACGAAATCAGCGCCTAAAGGAAATCAACCTGAATATTCACTGGAAGGACTGGTGCTGAAGCTGAAACTCCAATACTTTGGTACCTGATGCAAAGGGCTGATTCATTGGAAAACACCCTGATGCTGCGAGGCATTGGGGGCAGGAGGAGAAGGGGACGACAGAGGATGAGAGGATGGCATCACCGACTCCATGGACATGAGTTTGCGTAAACTCCGGGAGTTGGTGATGGACAGGAAGGCCTGGTGTGCTGCGGTCCATGGGGTCTCAAAGGGTCAGACACGACTCTTGGTGACCCCATGGCTAAACAACAACAACAACAGCACGGGTCCAGTTTACTTTTTAAGCATCTAGAACTTTTCACCAAAGCGGTTTCTCCCAGGCCTGACTCAGCATTCCCTAGACATAGATGGGAGCTATTTTCTCCCAGGCTGACGGGGCCTGGCTCCCAGATGCAGACGGCTGTGTCCAGGCGGGGCGCAGGTGTGCAGGCTCAGAACAGCGCAGGGCAGGGCACTGTCTGCCTGCTGAGCCTCAGGGGTCTCTGGGGGGTGGTTTAGGGGCTGGAGAGGGTGGGGGTCCAGAAGGAAGAGTGATAATCGTGCTTTATCAGGCTCACGTGTACCAGCTCTGTGGACGACAGTCAGGCAGTGAATGCCACCTCGCTGCTAGAACGAGACCCGGCTGGGCGCTGGAAGCGGGTGGGGTGCCCGGCTCATCATCTCATAGCCCCTGAGGTGCTGTGGAGCCTCTTCCAGGGCGGTGGAGCGCCGGGCGCCTGGCGGGCTGGAGGGGAATGCACCCGGGGCCGAGCGCATGGGCCTGAGTGTGCCACCCGTTCAGGCACGTGTGTGCATGTGCACTCTGTGCGTGCCTACGCGGGCGTGTAGTGCAAACTGTGGCATGACTGTTAACCAGCTCCACCAGCAGCAGCATCTCAGAAGCCCGGAGTCTTTAGGACTCACATGAGGATGCTGACGTGAGTCTCCTCCGAACAGGGCCCCCGCCCCTGGGTCCCACCTGGCTGAACCTCTGCCCCGTGCACAGAGGGGTGCCTTGGGGGGCTCTCCCAGCTCCCTGCCCCGCCCCTGCTGGCTGGGAGCAGACGGCCTGGAGGAGAAGCAGAGGAGCCTAGCATCTCAGCACTCTGGGCTGTGTTCTGGCCAGACTGTCTGCCCATGTCCAGCCCCCACCGCCCATCCGCACACCCCTCAATGGGACTGAGCGGAGCTGGCTGTTCCACTGCCCTGCCCCTTTGGGCCTCTGAGCGCCCCGTCACCCTGTGACGCCCCTCTGTTGAGTTGAGTGGTTCTGTTTTCCTGCAGGACTCAAGAGGTCCCTGCCCTCCTCAACTGGTCCTCTCTTCACATGCGACGCTGCTCAGACCAGCTTCCTATAAGCAGGTCAGCGAGTGTCCTTTTGCCCCGAGGACAAACCCAATGGCCCTGTGCTCGGGAACACGGCCCCAGGAGAGGTGGGCAGAGCCCGAGGGAGGCCGGGGGTCCCTGGAGCCGAGGTTCAGACCTCTCAGCCAGTCTGCACCGCTGTGGAGCTGGAGCATCATCGCCCCTGACGAACAAGGAGACTGGGTCAGGGTGGGCCAGAGGCTGCCCCAGGGCCACTCGAGGAGACACAGCTCAGCCAGACTGTGCCCGTGGTTCGCGTCCTGGGCTTTATTCACGGTGGCTTCTCCACACCCGGCATCGCAGAGGGCCGGCCGGCAGCGCCCATGTCTCCAAGCAGACGCCAGTCCAGCCGGCCCCACGGGACCCCCGCCTCCAGCCACACCTCGTGCCATCCCAGGACGGCCTCCAGTCACAGGTGCTCAGCGTCCACGGGGAGTAGACCCGGGCCCAGCAGCGTGTCGCTGGGAACGTGTCCCTGTCTCACGTCCGTGGACCAGAGCCTCACGGCGGAGCACAGGACTCTGAGACATCACATGCGTGCCTCCCACGTGAGGCGGTGAGCGCCCGCCCGGAAGCCGTGTGCACGCGCGCGCGCCTCCCACGTGAAGCAAGCGGTGAGCGCCCGCCCCGACGCCGGGTGCACGCGCGCGCGTCTCCCACATGAAGCAAGCGGTGAGCGCCCGGACGCCGTCTGCACACGCGTGCGCCTCCCACGTGAAGCGGTGAGCGCCTGGACGCCGTCTGCACGCGCGCGCGCCTCCCACGTGAAGCGGTGAGCGCCTGGACGCCGTCTGCACGCGCGCGCGCCTCCCACGTGAAGCGGTGAGCGCCCGGACGCCATGTGCACGCGCGCGCGCCTCCCACGTGAAGCAGTGAGCGCCCGCCCCGACGCCGTCTGCACGCGCGCGCGCCTCCCACGTGAAGCAAGCGGTGAGCGCCCGGACGCCGTCTGCACGCGCGTGCGCCTCCCACGTGAAGCGGTGAGCGCCTGGACGCCGTGACGAAAGACCCGGGAGCTGGGCGAGGCCCCAAGTGGCCCTTGGGCAGGCGCTCAGGGAACGCCGGCAGGGATGGACGCACCAGCGAGTGGCCGTTCGGCGTCCTGAGGCCGAGTCGCAGATTACCTCGCAGCCGGGCTGGCGGGACGTAGGAGCCGCATCAGCCCGCTGGCGGGTGGGGAGACCGGCAGGCGCCAAGGGCGGCTCACGGGCGGCCCACGCCAGGTTGTGAGGAGCCTCGGCATCGCCAGCCCAGGGCTGAGTTCAGACCCCGGGCTCCACCGGCTCCCAGCCCGCGGCCTCCACCCAGAACAAAGGCCCCATTACCGGGACTGAGGCCTTGGGAACAGGGACCAGAGCGGAAGAGGTACACACAGCCCTGACCGTCCGCGGGGGGCGCCGGACCATAGAGAGCGGGTCCCCCTGGAAGATTGGAGGCTGGGGACTCGCAGCCAATCAAGGGCCCTAAGAGCTTGATAATTCTGCTTCCGAGGACGCGGGTTAACGCCTTGATAATTCTGCTTCCGAGGACGCGGGTTAACGCCAGAGAGGTTCCCTGTTTTAGACTGTGTCACACAAATCAAAGGACTGACTTCGTCCTCCCCCTGAACCCTGCATTATGCAAATTGTGGACACTGTTATCCTCGGAGTTTGGCTTAGTTACTGGCTGTTTTAAAATTCCATTTCTAAAAAACAAAACGGAAGAAAGGGAGAAAGAAAACCACTACACCCTCTCCTACCACCCCCCTCCTACCACCCTCTCCTATCACTCCTGTCACCCCTGTCCTGTCACCCCCGCTTCTGTCACCCCTCCTGTACCCCTCTCCTGTCACCCCCTCTCCTGTCCCCCACTCCAGTCACCCCCTCACGTGTCACCCCCTCTCCTGTCACCCCCTCCTGTCACCCACTCCTGTCACCCCCTCTCCTGTCACCCCCTCTCCTGTCACCCCCTCTCCTGTCACCCTCTCCTGTCACCCCCTCTCCTGTCACCCCCTCTTCTATCACCCCCTCCTGTCACCCCCTCTCCTGTCAACCCCTCTCCTGTCACACCTCTCCTGTCACACCCTCTCCTATCACTCTCTCCTGTCACCCCCTCTCCTGTCACCCCCTCTCCTGTCACCCTCTCCTGTCACACCCTCTCCTGTCACCCCCTCTTCTATCACCCCCTCCTGTCACCCCCTCTCCTGTCAACCCCTCTCCTGTCACACCCTCTCCTATCACTCTCTCCTGTCACCCCCTCTCCTGTCACCCCCTCTCCTGTCACCCTCTCCTGTCACCCCTCTCCTGTCACACCCTCTCCTATCACTCTCTCCTGTCACCCCCTCTCCTGTCACCCCCTCTCCTGTCACCCTCTCCTGTCACCCCCTCTCCTGTCACCCCCTCTTCTATCACCCCCTCCTGTCACCCCCTCTCCTGTCACCCCCTCTCCTGTCACACCTCTCCTGTCACACCCTCTCCTATCACTCTCTCCTGTCACCCCCTCTCCTGTCACCCCCTCTCCTGTCACCCTCTCCTGTCACACCCTCTCCTGTCACCCCCTCTTCTATCACCCCCTCCTGTCACCCCCTCTCCTGTCAACCCCTCTCCTGTCACCCCTCTCCTGTCACACCCTCTCCTATCACTCTCTCCTGTCACCCCCTCTCCTGTCAACCCCTCTCCTGTCACCCCTCTCCTGTCACACCCTCTCCTATCACTCTCTCCTGTCACCCCCTCTCCTGTCACCCTCTCCTGTCACCCTCACCCCTCTCCTGTCACCCCTCTCCTGTCACCCCCTCTTCTGTCACACCCTCTCCTGTCACCCCCTCTTCTATCACCCCCTCCTGTCACCCCCCCTCCTGTCAACCCCTCTCCTGTCACCCCTCTCCTGTCACACCCTCTCCTATCACTCTCTCCTGTCACCCCCTCTCCTGTCACCCCCTCTCCTGTCACCCCTCTCCCGTCACCCCTCTCCTGTCACCCCTCTCCTGTCACCCTCACCCCTCTCCTGTCACCCCCTCTTCTGTCACCCCTCTCCTGTCACCCCTCTCCTGTCACCCTCTCCTGTCACCCATCTCCTGTCACCCCCTCTCCTGTCACCCCCTCTCCCGTCACCCCTCTCCTGTCACCCTCACCCCTCTCCTGTCACCCCTCTCCTGTCACCCCTCTCCTGTCACCCCCTCTCCTGTCACCCCCTCTCCTATCACCACCTCCTGTCACCCCCTCTCCTGTCACCCCCTCTCCTGTCACCCCTCTCCCGTCACCCCTCTCCTGTCACCCCTCTCCTGTCACCCTCACCCCTCTCCTGTCACCCCTCTCCTGTCACCCCCTCTTCTGTCATTCCTCTCCTGTCACCGCCTTCTATCACCCCTCTCCTGTCACCCCTCTCCCGTCACCCTCACCCCTCTCCTGTCACCCCCTCTCCTGTCAGCCCCTCTCCCCTGTCCCCCTCTCCTGTCACCCTCTCTCCCATCACCCTCTCCTGTCACACCCTCTCCTGTCACCCATCTCCTGTCACACCCTCTCCTATCACCCCTCTCCTGTCACACCCTCTCCTGTCACCCCCTCTCCTACCACCGTCTCTCCTGTCCCCCCTCTCCTGTCACACCCTCTCCTGTCACCCCCTCTCCTGTCACACCCTCTCCTGTCACCCCCTCTCCTGTCACCCCCTCTCCTGTCACCCCCTCCCCTGTCCCCCTCTCCTGTCACCCTCTCCTGTCACCCCCTCTCCTGTCACCCCCTCTCCTGTCACACCCTCTCCTATCACCCCTCTCCCGTCACCCTCTCCTGTCACCCCCTCTCCTGTCACCCCCTCCCCTGTCCCCCTCTCCTGTCACCCTCTCCTGTCACCCCCTCTCCTGTCATCCCCTCTCCTGTCATCCTCTCCTGTCACCCCCTCTCCTGTCACCCCTCTCCTGTCACCCTCACCCCTCTCCTGTCACCCCTCTCCTGTCACCCCCTCTCCTGTCACACCCTCTCCTGTCACCGCCTTCTATCACCCCTCTCCTGTCACCCCTCTCCCGTCACCCTCACCCCTCTCCTGTCACCCCTCTCACATCACCCCTCTCCCGTCACCCTCACCCCTCTCCTGTCACCCCCTCTCCTGTCACCCCCTCTCCCCTGTCCCCCTCTCCTGTCACCCTCTCTCCCATCACCCTCTCCTGTCACACCCTCTCCTGTCACCCATCTCCTGTCACACCCTCTCCTATCACCCCTCTCCTGTCACACCCTCTCCTGTCACCCCCTCTCCTACCACCGTCTCTCCTGTCCCCCCTCTCCTGTCACACCCTCTCCTGTCACCCCCTCTCCTGTCACACCCTCTCCTGTCACCCCCTCTCCTGTCACCCCCTCTCCTGTCACCCCCTCCCCTGTCCCCCTCTCCTGTCACCCTCTCCTGTCACCCCCTCTCCTGTCACCCCCTCTCCTGTCACCCTCTCCTGTCACCCTCTCCTGTCACCCCCTCTCCTGTCACACCCTCTCCTATCACCCCTCTCCCGTCACCCTCTCCTGTCACCCCCTCTCCTGTCACCCCCTCCCCTGTCCCCCTCTCCTGTCACCCTCTCCTGTCACCCCCTCTCCTGTCACCCCCTCTCCTGTCACCCTCTCCTGTCACCCTCTCCTGTCACCCCCTCTCCTGTCACACCCTCTCCTATCACCCCTCTCCCGTCACCCTCTCCTGTCACCCCCTCTCCTGTCACCCCCTCCCCTGTCCCCCTCTCCTGTCACCCTCTCCTGTCACCCCCTCTCCTGTCACACCCTCTCCTGTCACCCCCTCTCCTGTCACCCCCTCCCCTGTCCCCCTCTCCTGTCCCCCTCTCCTGTCACCCTCTCCTGTCACCCCCTCTCCTGTCACCCTCTCCTGTCACCCCCTCTCCTGTCATCCCCTCTCCTGTCACCCTCTCCTGTCACCCCCTCTCCTGTCACCCTCTCCTGTCACCCCCTCTCCTGTCACCCCTCTCCTGTCACCCTCACCCCTCTCCTGTCACCCCTCTCCTGTCACCCCCTCTCCTGTCACACCCTCTCCTGTCACCCCCTCTCCTGTCACCCCCTCCCCTGTCCCCCTCTCCTGTCACCCTCTCCTGTCACCCCCTCTCCTGTCATCCCCTCTCCTGTCACCCTCTCCTGTCACCCCCCTCTCCTGTCACCCTCTCCTGTCACCCCCTCTCCTGTCACCCCTCTCCTGTCACCCTCACCCCTCTCCTGTCACCCCTCTCCTGTCACCCCCTCTCCTGTCACACCCTCTCCTGTCACCCCCTCTCCTGTCACCCCCTCCCCTGTCCCCCTCTCCTGTCACCCTCTCCTGTCACCCCCTCTCCTGTCATCCCCTCTCCTGTCACCCTCTCCTGTCACCCCCTCTCCTGTCACCCTCTCCTGTCACCCACCTCCTGTCACCCCCTCTCCTGTCACCCATCTCCTGTCACCCCTTCTCCTACCACCGTCTCTCCTGTCCCCCCTCTCCTGTCACCCCGTCTCCTCCCCACGACTTTGTCACCTCACGTGGAGGTGTGCTGGGGCCTCCCACTTGCAACCCCTGCTCACTCAGTGTGCTTTATGGCTTCTCAGAAAATCGGTTTTTGCAGCTGCACCAAACCCCCCGCCCCGGCCTTTTTCTCGGGAGATTTGGAGCCAAGTTACTAAGAGACTTGGAGCCCGTGACCCCAGGGAGGGAAGCAGGAGCTCTCTGGTTGGGGCTCAAGGGATTCTGCCACTTCTGGGTTGCCCAGGGCGGCTGGCCGCAGCCCCGAGGCCACTCCACCTGCCGCTGGCAAGGTCCTCTGGCCCTGCCCTTCTGTGTCCGCGCTCTGGCCCTGAATTTCCCTGGGGAGCCCTCCATCCCTTTTGGTCCAGGAGACTCTCAGGAGACACTCTCTCCAGGGAGGATGGAGCTGGGGACCCTGGGCCACTCCGAGGGCCGGACTCGGTCCTGACGGCAGCGCTGGGCGAGGGGGTGGACCTCACGCTTCTCTGCAGTCCCGCACAGCCTGTGCTGCTGGGCGACCATCCTCCCCCAGGGAAGGGCTGTGCCCCGTGCGGGTGCCTCTGTAGGGATGAGGGGCTCGGTCACGGACCGGGGGCCTGGCCTCTGTCCCTCACTGCCCAGACCTGCCTATCCAGAGATGCAGGGAGATGAAGGCTGGCATTGAAGACGTGCAGTTTGGGGAGGGAGGCAGGAGGCAGTCGTCCTGATAAGCAGGAGTGCGCCCTGCAGTCCCTGGAGAGCTGCCCAGGCCCCCGGCACGGTGGTCCCCTTCTTCCCTGGCTTCGGGAGGTGGGTCACGCTGGCAGCTCCGACCACCCCGTCTGTTTCAGTCTGGGTGCTGAACTGGGGCATCTGGGGCTTGAATCAGCGGCTGCTTCCA